AAAGACGTCAGAAAGTTAACGTACCAAACGTCATTTTTACCACATGCGAGTTTGGGAAAAAGGAAAATGGGGGATGCAAATGTTTAAAATAATTCTGCAATATACCTTGTCCTTCAGAGGCTCAAAATGCAAGCTTCAAATGGAACTGTCATCAACCATCATTTTTCCTTTTTCTAACTCACAAATTTAAAATATTTTGGGGACGTTATATATCCCCTGCGAACAGTATTTAACTTTTCAATAGTATCTAGCTACCTCGAGGCTAATAAATGTTTCTCTTGAATCATCAACTTACCTCTCAAGACTCCAAAGAAAGAAGGCAGAACCATTAATTTTGACTATATATCTAGTGGAAACAGGAAATTTATTGCTTGCCAACATATCTTAAAACACAGACTGGTCCTTGTAAAATACCTAAAGGTTTTCAATAGAAAAACCGATATTTGTGTGCTTTTAGCAATTGTGCAACTTTCATGAGCCTAAAACAGCATAACTCAAACTCAGCTTGTTTCCAAAATGAGATTTTTGTAAAAATTAAATTTTCTTGGATTAGGATAGTGGCCGTGCATGAACATCCTAATGCCAACAATCAAGGGACCTCATCAGCTTTATAATCTTCAGCTTGTATCGGACAAAATTATCATCACACTACAAACTATTGCCGCTAAATTTCCAATTGAAGAACTCATCCCCTTGTCTCTCCACAGACAAAAGTTTGCAACAGAAGTTGAAACCAGCACATCCAAATATTTAAAAATTCCAGTGAAGCTGATATATTAACTATGAGAGGTAGCATCCAAATGATTGGGTAATCTAAAGTCAACCAGGGAGCTTTAAAGTGTGACCACTTTGTCATGAGGTTCAGTGGACACCAGCATTCCTTAATTGTACTTTCCATCTCTATTCTTGACTGTCAGGGATATAACATATACCCAGAGAAATAAAGGGGAAAGCTTCAGGTTCCAGCAAACCATGAGATTTTATCACATTTCTAGAATGTTCTCAGTGCTAGCCATAAATCTCTTCCAATTTCTAAAGCAATCCACTTTCAAACCCAAGAAAACATTTCCTCTCTACAACAGTAATTTACATGTAACTAAACAAAGTAGAATCTTAATATGTTAGTTAACACAGAAAGATTATAGCATCGTGTTCCAGTTTCCTTGACATATAACAGAATATATACAAATACAGATCACATCTCCCATTAGATCTCAGCATCAAATGATGGGAACATAGTAACCAGCATTTTTGCAGCATGGGAGCAGATTAACCAAAACTACGAAGTACTTACTTAGTAACTTGCATAATCCAAGAACACGATGCATGCATGCAAAAATCAAAAGATGTACTACATGTGCAATTTATTATTCAAAATTGAATTTTGAAGCCAATTCCAATCTTATTTCCGTAATTCTCGATAAGAAGTTCAAAATTTTGATAAATTGAGAAAAATTTAATAAAAACTTTACCATTTTATCCTCATCTATTCGCATAGAAGAGGGTTTATTCATAGTGGCGGCAGTTGGTGATATAGAGCTAAGATGACGCCGTTTCCTGTCCGCTTCATCTGTATTCGCCATTAAGAAAACACTCTAAACCACGAAAACTATCAATTTTCTCTTAAATTCACATGGAAACTTTTTGCGGGTTGTCGTCAAACCCAAGAAACTCAACACTCATACACACTAAAAATTGGGTACCACAAATGTTTACACACTTGCAAGCCTTAATTCAAGTAACAAAGAATTATATTTTCCAAACACCACTACAAAAATTATTAGTTAAACACAATTTTTTTATTTACTTAAATAACCTTAAATAAAATTACATAAATAGATTTTTAATATATTTGTCACATAAAATAATTTATTCTTCCACCACAATCATAAAACCTTAAAAAATTTATCTTCTTCCCCAATGCCTCCTCCAACACCCACTCTCAAAACTTCATCTGTCAATTAAGTTTGGCCATTAAAAAAATTAAATTTCTCTCATCGAAATTAAATTGATTCCATAAAAGAATAACGATTAAAAAAATTATGCTTCAATGATGAAATTGATAGAATTTATTCTCATTCACAACCCTGGCAATAGAGGCGGCCCTGAGGACGTACGAGTTGAGCGACCACACAGGGCCTCAGCATTATAGGGGCACCAAAAAAAATTTTTTTGTAAGTCTGTATATATGTAGAAGTACATATTTATAATGGTACATATTGCTTTATTAATTTTAAGATTTAAAATTTTTATTATTATATTAAGTTAAAGGGCAAAATATTTATGAAAAAAGAATAAAAAAATTATATTATGTTAATATTTGTTTAATTTAATATATTATTGAAAATAAATGTTTAATTTAACATATATTGAAAAAAATATTTTATAATTCTAAAATATCTTGCTTTTAAAAATATTATAAACTATCTATTTTACTAGTCATAATATCAATTGTCCAATTAGCTTCATTGATCAATTACCAATCTAAAAAGAAAATAAGTAGCCCAAAATTCAAATGATTAAAATGGAGAGTGAAAAGTTAATACTAGATCCATTTTTATCAATTCTCTCATTCTTATCCTTTAGCCCACAAAGAATAGTCAAATAAAGAATAAAAAAGACTTTATTGTCAATCTTTATTACTTACTCTATAATAGTAGAATCTATTTGTTGGAGCCTGTTGTCCACTTGTGAATTGTTATTTCATGATTTTTTAATTTTTAATTTTTTGAAGGGTAAGTTTTTGTTGGGTGAAAATTAATAGTTGATTACATTCAATTTTTGACAATTTTTTTACCAAAAGAAACAAAAATAGCTTTTGATATATTGACTTATTTAAGAAGATTGGATTGTTTTTCAAATATATTTATTGCTTATAAAATACTATTAACAATTATTGTTGTTGTTGGATTTTTCAAAAAATGTTCTTCAAAACTAAAGCTATTAAAATATTATTTGCGATCAACCAAGTCACAAGAACGAGTCTACTTGTGAATTGCTATTTCATGATTACTATAATTATTATTTTGGTTCTAGAAGGGTAACTTTTTGTTAGGTGATAATTGATAGTTGATTACATTAAATTTTTGCAATTTTTTTTTTTTACGAAAAGAAATAAAAATAGCTTTTAATATATCGACTTATTTGAGAAGATTAGATTGCTTTTCGAATAGATTTATTGCTTATATAATACTATTGATAATTATTGTTATTGTTGCATTTGTCGAAAAATGTTCTTCAAAACTAAACCTATTAAAAACTTATTTGTGATCAACCATGTTATAAGAATGATTGAATGTGCTAGTTTTGATATTTATTGAAAAAGATTTGCTAAAACATATTGATTACGAAGGTTTAATTAATGAGATTGTCTCTAAAAATGCGAGAACCGATATTTTTACATGATTTGTTGCATTTCAAGATTTACATGTGGCACTTGCTATTTTTGATTTCAAAGTTTGCTCATGTGAAATTGTACCAAGAGGTTAATAGTTTGGATGGTTCTTTATTGATGACATATGAATTTTGATGAAGTTTGAAAAATGCTTTTAAGTTTTAGTTATATTTTTTTTTATTAACAATATGTAAAAACTAAACAAATTTTTTAATGTCATATTTTTGGGATGAAATGATGTTATTGAATTATTTTTTTTATAATATATTTTATATTACACGAAAGGGGCACCATTTTTAAAATGTCGCACGGGGCATCTAAAATTTCAGGGCCGGCCCTGGTTATAGACCAACTAGAGTGCGACTGTATTTCATTTCATTATATAGGATCTCTCGAATCATGCTTAGATTATGGTTTTCGTGAGAATTCTTGGCAAGAGGACGTTGTAGGGTTATCACATTAAAACATCAAATCACTAACCATCACATATATGTTACATAGAACGACTGGAAATAGCATTGAAACTTGAAAATGAATTCATGAATTAAAATATTTTAATTTTGTTACACATGGATAACATGAAAGTGGGACCGAGCATGTTCAAAAATGGGTCCCACCAAAGATTTGCTGGCCAAATTAATATCTATAATCTATTTTATGGTTATATATTTTAATTTCTTTATCTCCTAGTCATTACAATCTTAGCCCCTACCCTTACTTTCCAAACAGATCCTCCTATATCTCTATATAAACGCTGGTTTATCAAGAATATACAAGAAAAACACTTCAAATTGTTGATTAATCGTTAGAGATGGCTTAGATTTTCTAAAAATTTATTTTTTTCAAAGTTATTTTTAATCGAATATTTATTTTTACACAAATCCAAAAATTTTCCTTATTAACTACACATTTTTCAATATATATATATATTGTCAATTTGGTGAAGATAAGGCAAGTATCCTATTTATTGTCAATTATTTGACTTTTTTAATTCTCATCGTTGGCTAATTAAGCCATGAATAAACTATGAAATGATGAAAATAAATCCATACATCAAATGAGCATCTAAACCATTTTCCAAAATTGAGTATGATAATTGTCAAGTTCTTTCATTTACTCTTTTTTTCTCAAAACCTTTACACCTCACACGCTAAAAAAATACGATGGATTAAAATTTTGTCAATAGCATCGTGCCAACTAAATATGCACTAAATGATCACTAAAACCTCAATGGAATAGCACTGATTTGAATTCAATAATCTGCTAGTAAATGAAAGTGTCCAGAAGCTTTAAGTAGTCAGATTACATGCAACCAAAAAATGAAAAACGATTTTATCTAAACCCGGAACCTGCACCTGCAAATCCTCTGTGGAACTTCTGTCGTTTCCTAATGTAGTTTTTGGTCTCTGCAAATCATCTAGAAATATACAAATATATGTAAACATTGCCCACTAGGACCAGCAACTGGTTCAAATTTAATCTGTCAAGAAAACATAGAATATGGTTCCTCAAATTTCCAGTCAAATGCATATAGATTACGACAAATGCAATGGACAATGAGAAATTAAGAAAGAGCGGGAGGAGAAAAGACGAGAGAATTAAGAGGGAGATTGTAAATTTATTCAATAGTAATGGTTTATTTATTACAATCAAAGAACCTCTTGACCTCTGTATATAGAGTTTAAACTAGGATTAATACAGAATAACAAGGTTTCCTCTATAAAGGAAACAAAGTCAATTGTCTTGAAATCGCAATAAGACGCATTAATAATCAATAAGAAATTCTATAAAATCCTAACTGATTTTATTTCTTCTACGTCTATAGTACACTTTCCAATTTGCCTCAACAGGTTTAACATCGCTAGCCTCGAAACTTGCCACACATTCTGGGCACTTGAGCTGGCCCGTTTCTATAACTCTCTGTACGCAATGGCTGCAAAACAGGTGGTAGCATTTGGCGATAAACACCTAAAAAAAAAAAAAAGGCACTGGTTATCAGCTCGAGAACTATAGACTGTGCAGGCTAACTATGAAAGCAAAATTAAAGTTTCATATTCGTGAAAAATACAGCAGACACGTTTTCACATATAAAGAAAACTATCACCGTTCACCATATCCCACCATCATTAATGGTCCTGTATTCTGTCGTCCCATAATTTTGCCATTTCCCTCATACATCACATTTATTATCTTTCAAATTCTTTGTAGCGTATTAGCATTATTAATATTTGAGTTTCATTTTTAAGTTGTAAATGTCTTGATACTTCACAGGGATCCCTGTTTCCAAATGGATATACCTCTTCACTTCTATCAAATCAAATACTGCACTTCAGTATTTCCTTGTATTCTCCAAGTTCCTGCAGAAGCTTTTCAGTTGGGGATGAAACCTTGGAATGCAACTTCAATCTTTTTGTTTTCCTTCTCAGAGTTTCTACGTCTTCTTCTATTCTTTTCTTCTCAAACATAGTAAGGAGAAATAGTTTAAAAACAAGAAATGATAGGAATGACATCACATTACAATTCTATCTGCAGCTTAGCAAATCCAACTGTACTTATGTCAAGCTTTGATTTTGATTCTTCAAATGTGTTCCTCAGTTGCTGAGATGACTTCCTCACATATAACACTCTTTTTTGGGTGTTCTCTAAAGTAACTGTTCTTCGAGCCCTAATTTTAGAAAACCTCCGAATTTGGTCCGAGTAGGATTTCAACTGCAATAAAAAGAATACCAATATGATATTGATCGGACACAACATTCGGCACTACAGAACAGAGGCACCTCAATATTACCTGATATTCAATTCTAGCAGCTTTAGTATCATAAAATCTAACAGTTGCCTTGTTTTGACAATTTATTCTTTCCAAGTAACGCTTCTTCTGTTACCGTACATAATAATGAAGATTTCTTTCCATATTTATATTTTTATATTCTTAGGGATTGTATAGCATATATAGGATATAATTTCCTTGTAAAACCATTTTCTATCTGTATATATATTGAGAAGAGGGCAGCATGTAATGGAGACGGTTTTTCAAGAAATCTCAAAAGCTATTTCTTTCTCTTGAATTCTGAATTCATCTGACATGATATCAGAGCTTGGTACCTGATTCTTGCCGTCGATTCTCCTTGGGCGACTCCATCTAGGTTGTGTTCGGCACTTCTGGTCGTCGATTCTTGGTGGGCGATTCGACACTTCTGGTCGCCGATTTTTGGTGTGTGATTCGGTGCTTCTGATCTCCGACTTTTGGTGTGGCTTTTTCGGTCCTTGTTCTGCCGGGTTCTAGTTCTAGCGACACTGTTCTGTTCTTCCCATTCAGATTCCAGTGGGTCTCTGTTTGTGTCGGGTTCTGTTGGATTTCTAGTCTTCTCTTCCCGGTCGACTCTCTCAGTTGTTTGGGTCTCGTCTTCCGGCTAGGGTTCGTTGGTGTTGTTCGCTGTCTGGTGTGAGTCGGGTTCCTCTGGTTAGTGGGTCAGTTTACTGTTTGGCTTGAAGGCTGCAGTCGGTGCATTGTTTGAATTTAATAATTTTTCTTCTTGCAAGAGTATTTTATTTGTTCAATAATAATATAGTAGTCTATTTATTTCATCATGTCTTCGGATAAGTTTCACATTCGTTTTATTGGAAAGAATTATTTTGCTTGGGAGTTTCAATTTCAATTATTTGTCAAAGGAAAGGACTTATGGGGTCATATTGATGGAAGTGATCCCGCCCCTACAGACGTCGATGCTTTGTCTAAGTGGGAAATAAAGGATGCTCGGGTTATGACATGGATTCTTAGCTCGGTTGAGCCTCACATCGTACTCAATAATTAGTCCGTATAAAACAGCCGCTGACATGTGGAATTACTTGAGCAAGATTTACAAGCAGGACAATACGGCTCGGCGTTTCCAATTGGAATATGAGATGGCTAATTTTACCCAAGGAAATCTTTCAATTGAGGATTATTATTCGAGTTTCCAAAATCTCTGGACTGATTATTCGAATATTGTTTATGCTCATGTTCTCGTTGCAGCTCTTTCTGCTGTTCAAAAAGTGCATGAAACAAGTAAGAGAGACCAATTTTTGATGAAGCTGCGTTCAGATTTTGAGATTGCACGTTCTAATCTGATGAATCGTCATCCGGTACCATCTTTGGATGTATGTTTGAGTGAACTTCTCCGTGAAGAACAACGTATCTTAACTCAAGCAACCTTGGAACAAAGGACTACTGTCGACACTCTGATTCCTGTAGCTTATGCAGCACAAGGGAGGAATAGGAATCGGGACATGCGTAATGTCCAGTGCTATAACTGTAAAGTTTTTTATCACCTTGCTCGAGATTGTCCTAAGAAATCTTGTCATTACTGCAAGAAACTAGGTCATATTCTCTTAGCTTGTCCCATTCGCCCTGAAAGGAAACACAGCACAGCATATCATGCCTCCACTGGTGCCTCTAGTTCTGCTACATTGCATACTGCCTCACAAGTTGCTCCTAGTCCAAATCCGAACACACTCACTCCTGAAATGGTACAACAGATGATTTTTTCTGCTTTTGGAATCTCAGGTAATCACTCCACTTCTTCTAAGCCATGGTTTTTTGACTCCGGTGCCTCTAATCATATGACTAATACAACTGAACTCCTTTCCAATGTCAAAAAATATGATGGCAATATGAAAATTAATACCGCCAATGGCAATTCTCTGCCTATAAGTGCTATTGGTGATCTTTCCCCGTCCTTACCTGATGTTTTTGTATCTCCTATCCTTTCTACGAATCTTATCTCTGTTGGTCAATTGGTTGACAATAATTATAATGTTCATTTTTCTCGCTCTGGCTGTGTTGTGCAGGATCCAGTGTCCGGGAAGATGATCGCGAAGGGGCCTAAAGTGGGACGGCTATTCCCTTTACATATTTCTCCTTCCCCAGTCATTCTCCGTTTTCCTTTACTTTCCTTAGCATGTGGTACTGATAATACTGGAAATAAAATGTGGCATAAACGTTTAGGCCACCCAAACTCGGATGTACTTCGTACTTTATTTAATTCTGGTTTATTGGGAAATAAAACAAGTTCTTTACTTAATCTTTCGTTTGATTTTACAACTTGCAAAATTGGCAAAAGAAAAGTTTTACTGTTTCCTTCTCATGCATCTCATGCCTCACAATGTTTTGATATTATCCATAGTGATGTTTGGGGGATTGCCTTTGTTGTTTCTCATGCACACTACAAGTATTTTGTTACTTTCATTGATGACTTTAGTCGCTTCACTTGGGTTTATTTTTTAAAGGCTAAGTCTGAAGTTTTCTTGCTTTAAGCGCTTTCTTGCTCTTCTTGAGAATCAGTTTTCTGTCAATATCAAAATCCTACAATCTGACTCTGGGGGAGAGTACATGTCTAATGAGTTTCAAGCCTTTCTCCAAAGCAAAGGAATCATGTCTCAGTGTTCTTGTCCTTCGACACCGCAACAAAATGGTGTTGCTGAACGGAAAAATCGCCATCTTCTGGATGTGGTATGGACTTTTTTACTTGAAGCATCCGTTCCTCCTCATTTTTGGTGTGAAGCACTGTCTACTGCTATCCTTCTAATTAATCGTTTACCATCTCCTACATTAAATCATGATTCACCTTACTTTAGGTTTTTTGGTCGTCCTCCATCATATTTTGATCTTCGTACATTTGGTTGTGTCTGCTTTGTGCATGTCCCTGCTCATGAACGACATAAACTTACTGCTCAATCTGTTCAATGTGCTTTTCTTGGCTATGCTACCTCACAAAAAGGTTATGTTTGTTATGATCCTAATGCTCGTCGTATTCGTGTCTCTAGAGATATGGCTTTCTTTGAAATTTAATATTTCTTTCACTCTCACGTCGAGTCCCCATCTGCAACATTCTCTCCTTTGCCTAGTTATTCTGATTCCCCTCCGGTTGTGGAAAGGTTTAAACATGATTTTGTGTATGCCCATCGTCATCCACATGAGTCCGTTCGTACTCCCTCTATGCCCCCTCGTGATCTCGACTCGGCACCTGATCATTCTACATCTGTCACCAATCTTCGTCGATCTACTCGTCCTTCTCGACCTCCTAATCGGTATGGTTTCTCTCCTCCTGTTTCCCTCGTAACTACTTTATCATCTATTTCTATTCCCTCTTGCTACAAACAGGCTATGGAACATAAGTGTTGGCGGGATGCAATGCAAGCAGAACTTCATGCCCTTAAGGAGAATCATACTTGGGACATTGTTCCTTATCCTTCTGCGGTCAAGCCTATTGGGAGTAAATGGGTTTTCTCAGTCAAACTTCGGCCTGATGGTTCTTTGGATCGATACAAAGCTAGACTTGTAGCTCTAGGTAACAAACAAGAATATGGGATTGACTATGAGGAAACATTTGTCCCTGTTGCCAAAATGACCACGGTTCGAACAATATTAGCTATTGCTGCCTCCCAGTCATGGCAACTACATCAGATGGATGTGAAGAATGCTTTTCTTCATGGTGATTTGCAAGAGGAGATTTATATGTAGCTTCCTTCTGGTTTACCTGCTACCTCTCCTCATGATGTTTGTAAGTTAAGGCGATCTTTGTATGGGCTCAAGCAGGCCCCTCGGGCATGGTTTGAAAAATTTCGTGGTACGCTTCTTACATTCGATTTTACACAAAGTCAGTTTGATTCTTCTCTCTTCTTCCACAAGTCTGCGGCAGGCATTGTTCTCCTTTTGGTGTATTTGGATGATATAATTATTACTGGAACTGACTGTAGTGTGATTATTAAACTTCAAAATTTGTTGCATGCCACTTTCCATATGAAGGACATGGGTCGCCTCACTTACTTCTTAGGGCTGAAAGTTTATCATCGAGACAATGGCATTTTCTTAAACCAACATGAGTATGCTCAAGATCTTATCACATTAGCTGGTTTGGAGGATACCTCTTCGGTTGATACTCCTATGGAGGTAAATGTGAAATTCAGAAGAGATGAAGGGGATGTCCTGGATGATCCCACACTCTATCGTCGCTCGGTTGGGAGTCTTATCTATCTGAGCACTACTAGACCGGACATCTCATATGCCGTCCATCAAGTGAGCTAGTTTATGTCTTCTCCTTGGCATCTTCACCTTGCTGCAGTCCGCCGCCTTATTCGCTATCTTCGCGGGTCACCTTCTCGTGGGTTGTTCTTTCCTACAGGGTCATCTTTTCAGCTTTTTGCTTATAATGATGCTGATTGAGCTGCTTGCCCGAATACACGTCGTTCTACTACAGGCTGGTGTGTGTTTTTTGGTGATGCATTGATCTCTTGGAAATGTAAGAAACACGATCGTGTCTCTAAGTCCTTTACTGAGGCTGAGTATTGTGCATTGTCTATGGCTTGCTCAGAAATTATATGGTTACGCAGTATTCTGGAGGAGCTAGGTTTTCCTCAAGCTAATTCTACTCCTCTTCATGCTGATAACACGAGTGTTATCCAAATTGCCAATAATCCTGTCTTTCATGAGCGCATCAAGCACATTGAAGTTAATTGTTATTTTATCCGCGATACATTGGAGGGTCGGGTTATATCTCTTCCTTACATTTCTTCTGATCTTCAAGTGGCCGACATCTTCACCAAGGCATTGACTCGACAACTACATCAATTTCTTGTTGGCAAATTGTTGCTGGTTGACTTCCCCGCATCAATTTGAGGGGGGGTGTTACCGTATATAATAATGAAGATTTCTTTCCATATTTATATTTTTATATTCTTAGGGATTGTATAGCATATATAGGATATAATTTCCTTGTAAAGCCATTTTCTATCTGTATATATATAGAGAAGAGGGCAGCATGTAATGGAGACGGTTTTTCAAGAAATCTCAAAAGCTATTTCTTTCTCTTGAATTCTGAATTCATCTGACATCTTCATCAATAGGGCATCTCTCATCTGTGTTGCCGGCACTCCCTCTAAAACAAGCTGAAACAGGAGGTAAAACAACCTGATGACACTCACAAAATAAACCTCAATGAAAGCAAAAATACTTGTGCATCTTTTACGGTATGAAAACTGCAAAAACAAATGCAAGAATCCTTGACAAGACAACATGCTTGTATCCTGTGTTCTTGTTTCAGAACAAGAACGAAACATGTATGTTCAGAAACATCATTACCACAGAGTTTAACATCGTGGAAGTGGGAAAGTGAAAACTTTCTAGGACGATTGTGTCCAGTTTCACCTTATTTAGCCACTGAGAAAGCTTAACTGCTGCAATATATACGGTATAAATCTGATTCTTTTGTAGAAATAAGAAAAGGATAATAATATTACGTAGGAGGAAGCAAGGGGGAATTTTACTGCAAATGGAAGCTAAGATAGACCTCCCAAGTTCCAAATGTGTACGTATGTTTCACTAAAGCTGCCAAAACATTTTCACGGATGACTAAAGTTTGTTTTTCAGACTCAATGTAAATATCAAACAGTTCACAAGATAAATCTGGTGAAAGTAATAACTTGAAAAGTGTGCAATCAAACCAGCATGAATTTCTTGATCAGAGAGCTGAAGAAAACAATTATCATAACTGGAAAGGCAAACCCCTCCCACGAGCCATGCTATAAAAATAATTTCAACATTTTTTACCGGCTTCATTATCAAATAGAGACATCACTTCAAATTTTAAGTAGGTAAAGTTGGATGAATTAATTTAATTTCCAAAAGAATTTGATGTTAAGGAAATGCTATTAAGTACTTTTGTAATTAATCACCTTCATGTCGTACTCATCTCTCTCCACGATTTGCTGCAAAAACCGTAGGTTTTGAGACTGTATATCATCATAGGCATGTCCGATACTCTTTAAAAAAAGGCCAATAAAGTCAGCAAAACTAACGCAATAAAAGGATATCCATCAATACAAGTCATGGTAGAATAGAAACCTCTTATCTCAAAAAGATAGGCCTCAGTGTCTTCATGTTCGTGTTTTAAGTCATCAGAAAATCTGTATTTATTCCTGAAACAACAGTGCGAACAAAATCTTGGAAAATTCAGAAAGCAACATATTACAAGTTGAGCTTCTTATGGAAGTTTTTTCAATTTTAAATTTTGCTTGTTTACGTCAACTCAAGTTAGTTATGATTCATTTGACATGCCTAGAATGAGAAGTGTGCAGTCTTTGACAGTGTCAGGCAAGGATATGTGCCTCCAATGTCTGTCGAACACAATTAAGAGTGTCAAACAAGTATCAAGATTGAGAATTGTGTTGGTCATGGCAGGTGAATTGTCTTAACACTTTATGGGGCACGGGTTTTATTTAAAGTTCCAAAGAGCTGTGGACAAAATGGAATAGAAGGAAATAGAATTTAGGCATAGTGGCATATGGACAACTGAACACTCAAATCTCGCTAATTGTCCTCTCTATCTCTCCACTCACCAGTGCTCATGGAGGAGAAGCTTTTTCCACCACATTAGACCTCCAATGGGCTCAGCTCAATCATCTGTACTTCCATCTTCCAATTCCCCAACCCAATTGGTACCAAGATTCAACTTATGTCTCTCATTAGGAAGAGGTCTAAGGTTCGAATCCTGGAAGTCATAAGAGAAATACATGAGGAGGTAAGTGGGCAAATTCCCACCCAAAGCAGAAAGTACATATGATATAACGGCTTGGACACGAGGCCTAGGTCGTTACACATATTTATCCAAATATTTTACAAATTCTAATGAAAAATGTTGGAAGTGTTGGTAGGATCCTTATGTAGTAAAAAAGATTCAATAATGAATATACTTTTATTGAATTACTGGAAATGAAAGAAGGGGGAATAAATCAAAGGCTTTTAAGAGGCCTGGTCTCTCCCCCAGGACTTACAACCAAGGAGGCGTGAATGAATGAAATAACACCCTTCCCATTACATTTATAGCTATCTCCCTCCCCCTAACTCAATTTCCTAATCTACCCTTCTTAACCAACTAACTGATCCGGTGGCCCATCTAGTTTGTTGCTAACCGCCTTTTCCCCTTTCTTTCTCCTCACGTATGTGAAGTTAACCAGGGGCCTATCATTTCCTCCTATCCCGAAATCCACCTTGTCCTCAAGGTGGAACTCGGGAAACTGCTGTTGGATGTTGTGGTATGGTTCCCATGTTACTTCAAAGTCCGATAAATTCTTCCACTTGATCAACACCTTCTTCCCTATATTAGTGTTTGCTGGTCCTTGTCTGATCTGTAGTACAGTTTCTAGTTTAACCTGTACTTGCTCTTCTGCTTCCAGTTGTGGGGGAAGTTGCGAGATGGCCTGACTATTTCCCACAGCCTTCCGAAGTTGAGAAACGTGAAAGACCAGATGTATAGCTGCTGTAGGAGGAAGTTTTAGCTTGTATGCTACCTGCCCCACTCAAGTTTCCACCTCCAATGGCCTATAGTACTTTGGTGATAACTTAGCATAGGGGTGTGCAGACACAGAACTCTGACGGTATGGGCGTAATTTAAGGTATACCACGTCCCCTACTTCAAACTGCACATCACGACTATGCCCATCTGCTGCCAATTTCATATGTTATTGGGCACGAGTTAGTTGTAATATTAGTTCCTGCAGTACTTCATCCCATTGTAACAGTGACCTTTCCACAGTTGAAACCACACTGAGCCCCTTCTCAATCGGCAGAATAGGGGGTGGCTCGCAGCCGTATACAATTTGAAAGGGGGTCTGTTGTGTAGCAGTGTGAAAAGAAGTATTGTATCAAAACTCCAACCATGGCGACCATTGACTCCATGAGCGTGGTTTGTGGGATGCGAAACACCTCAAGTAAGTCTCCAAGCACCGATTCACAACTTCAATCTGGCCATCCGTCTGGGGATGGTAGGCCATATTGTGCTTTAGGCTAGTTCCCTACGCCTTGAATAATTCTGTCTAGAATTTGCTCATGAATATTCTATCCCGATCAGAAAGGATTGATTGTGGAATGCCATGTAAGCGGACAACCTCCTTGATGAAAACAACAGCCACCATTGGGGCAGTGAATGGGCGTTTCAGGCCAATAAAACGGCCGTATTTGCTCAGCCGATCGACTACCACCAGAAGAGTGTCCTACCCCCTGACCTTGGCAATCCTTCAATAAAGTCCAAGGAGACATCAACCTAAACGGTGTCTGTAATGGAAAGTGGTTGTAACAGCCCACCAGGTGACAAGGCCATGTATTTGTTTTGTTAGCAAACCTCATAATCCTCTTGTATTGATACTCCTTCTCAAAATGGAGTTGCTGAAAGAAAGAATAGACATCTACTTGAAACAGCTCGAGCTCTTCTGTTTCAAACGAAGGTTCCTAAGCAGTTATGGGCTAATGCCGTCTCTACAGCATGTTTTCTGATTAATCGCATGCCATCTACAGTACTTAACGGGGATATTCCATATAGTATTCTATTTCCAAACAAGTCACTATTTCCAGTGGAACCACGGGTATTTGGAAGCACCTGTTACGTTCGTGATGTAAGGCCATCCGTTACTAAACTGGATCCAAAAGCCTTGAAGTGTGCTTTTCTAGGATATTCTCGTCTTCAAAAAGGGTATCGATGCTACTCACCTGATCTCCATAAATACCTAGTTTCTACTGATGTGATCTTTTCAGAAAATACATCATTCTTCTCCTCTCCCTCCATCTCTACAAGTCAGGGAGAGAAAGATGAGTGGCTAATCTATCAAATCATACATCCAAGTGCTCCTATTGAGCAATCAGATGATGGCGCTTCTCTTACATCTCCCGGAACCTCTAATGAGCAACCTCCTACTCAAGTAAAGCCGCCTGTTATCCATGTTTATTCCAGAGGGCAAGAGACCAATGATACGTCCTACACCGGCTACTTCGTCATTTGATTCTCCAAACGACCTTGACCTTCCCATTAGTCTTCGCAAAGGTAAACGCCAGTGTACTCTCCCTAAATCTATTTATCCCATAGCTAACTTCATTTCTTACGACCATCTGTCTCCTGCGTCTAGTTCTTTAATTACCTCTTTAGATTCAATCTCTGTGCCTAGAATAGTAAAAGAAGCCTTAAGTCATCCTGGATGGAAGAATGCAATGTTTGAGGAGATAAACGCTCTAGATGAAAATCACACATGGGAGTTGGTAGATCTGCCTAATGGCAAGAAAGCTGTGGAATGCAAATGGGTCTTTGCTGTCAAGGTCAATCCAGATGGTTCTGTAGCAAGACTTAAAGCCAGACTTGTTGCAAAAGGATTTGCTCAGACTTATGGAGTGGATTATTCGGATACCTTCTCTCCGGTGGCCAAACTTACCTCTATCCGCCTATTTATATCCATTGCTACATCCCAAGATTGGCCCTTATACCAGTTGGATATCAAGAATGCATTCTTTCATGGTGATCTCCAGGAAGAGGTGTATATGGAGCAACCACCTGGATTTGTTGCTTAGGGGAAGTATGGGAAAGTCTGTCATCTGAAGAAATCTCTGTATGGTCTAAAACAAAGTCCCCGTGCCTGGTTTGGCAAGTTCAGTGAAGTAGCTCAGGAGTTTGGGTTGAAGAAGAGCAAATGTGATCACTCAGTCTTCTACAGACAGTCAGCAACTGGCATTATTCTTGTTGTTGTTTATGTTGATGACATTATCATTACAGGATATGATTGCGCTGGAATCTCCTCTCTCAAGTTATTTCTGCATACCAAATTTCACACAAAAGACTTGGACCAACTAAAATATTTTCTCGGAATAGAAGTAACAAGAAGCAAAAAAGGGATATTCTTGTCTCAAAGAAAGTATGTACTTGATTTGCTGGCAGAAATCGGAAAGATGGGAGCCAAGCCATGCAGCACTCCAATGGTTCCTAATGTACATCTTACAAAAGATGATGGTGATTTCTTTGATGATCCAGAAAAGTACAAGAGACTAGTTGGGAAACTAAATTATCTCAAAGTGACTCATCCAGATATAGCTTATGCTGTCAGTGTTGTTAGCCAATTTATGTCTGCGCCTACAGTAAAACATTGGACATCATTGGAACAGATACTGTGTTACCTGAAAAGAGCTCCTGGCCTTGGTATAGTGTATGGCAATCACAGACATTTTTGCATTGAAGGCTTTGTAGATGCTGATTGGGCTGGATCTAAAATTGATAGACGGTCTACTACAGGATATTGCATCTTCGTTGGTGGAAACCTTGTGTCCTGGAGGAGTAAGAAGCAGAATGTTGTATCCTGGTCCAGTTCAGAATCGGAGTACAGAGCCATGGCCCAGACTACATGCGAAATTTTGTGGATACAACATTTTCTAGCTGAAGTTGGATTGAAGCCTTCGGTACCAGCAAAACTCTGGTGTGACAACCAAGCTACCCTTCATATCACCTCAAATCCGGTATACCATGAAAGGACTAAACACATTGAGGTCGACTGTCATTTCATTCGTGAGAAAATCCAGGAAAATATAATCTCTATTGTTTATGTGAAGACTGGAGAGCAACTTAGGGATTTCTTCACAAAGGCATTAAATGGGACTAGGGTTGAGTATCTTTGTAACAAGTTGGGCATGATTAATATCTATGCTCCAACTTGAGGGGGGAGTGCTATAGAAAAATAGGCTAACATTACGAGCTAATTAGTCTCTAATTAGGTCTAATTACAGTAGCCTAATTAGTCTCTAATTAGCCTAATTTCAGTAGCTAAATTAACGTAATTAACTAGATAGATTAGCATACCTTAGAGAGATTGTACATGTATATATATCGTGATTTCCAATGATAATAATATAGAAAAATTCCCCAATTCTCTGTTCAATTACAAAACTCATTGTCAATGTACTCCAGTTCACCTACATCTGGCCTAACGTTTCCAGCCACTTGTCCGCACATCCCAACTGCAGTGGAAGGAAATCGTCCACGACATCGATGCTTAGCAGAGATACTGTTACTCCCCTTTAGATCCCTACGCCCCCTTATTGATAGTCCAGTTCCTATGAGCACCCCATAGCTAGCGGTACGCGTGATCGGTAGAGCTAACTGACTAGC